TTCTGTCGAATTTAATTCGTTGAATTGAATTCGACACGGCAGAAATGCGACGTATGAACCGGGCCTAAGTCCTCTGCGTATTTTGGATAACGTGGGCCACAACGGCAATTTTTTTGTATTTCTTTTTGGAATTGACCGCTGGCATTACATATTAGTTTGAGCAGGTTTTCAGACTGATTGGCGTACCGAGTTGATTCACATAGTAACGAAATTCGAAGGTAAAATAGAAATTTCGTTTTTATTAGGCGTCGTCCCTGGCATCGCCGTCATCATTCACATTGCTTAAGGTCCCTATTGATTACCAATACATGTGTTTGACAGGTCACTGATCGGATGGAAGAGCTGAAACGACAGTACGATGAGAAATCTGCACAGAAGGAAGAACTGAGAAAGAAGGCTGAGATCACCGAGTTGAAGCTGGAGCGTGCTGGCAAACTGGTGTCTGGACTGGCGGGAGAGAGGGACCGCTGGGAAGCGAGTGTCAAGGTGAGAAAACTTTAGCATTGAAATAGTTTTGTTACTGTTTCACATCTAGGAAAGCGTCTGAATAACGGAACGAACCAAGGACTGGAATAAAAAGCTTGCAACCGCTTCCAAGCGCGGGAAATTGTACATCGGCTTAGTCACGTGTGATTTTGGCATTGCTTGTCATTGGTCGAAAACACGTCGTGTTTGTTCTGATTGGTTCAAGCGTTTTGCACGAACTACACTCACACTCATTGTCTTCGCTCCTGTGAGTGGAGCATAAGGCTACAAATGCTCAAGTGGTCTTTGGGTGTAAGGAGGGATGCTTCATATGCCTCGTCGTGCACTGCCCACCAAACAAACAAACATACTAAAACAGAAAGATTTGATTATTCGACAATTAATTGAAGAGTCTCCTGCCAAGCTATCGTGCATCTTTGTTCCATCTTTGTTCCTCGCGTTTTGCACGAGCTACACTCACACTCATTGTCTTCGCTCCTGTGAGTGGAGCATAAGACTACAAATGCTCAAGTGGTCTTTGGGTGTAAGGAGGGATGCTTCATGTGCCTTGTCGTGCACTGCCCACCAAACAAACAAACAAACCAAAACAGAAAGATTTGATTATTCGACAATTAATTGAAGAGTCTCCTGCCAAACTATCGTGCATCTTTGTTCCAAATCTTTAGCTTCTGTCCTAAATGTTTGTAGATTCTGGAGGAGAACATTGGCTACCTTGTGGGAGACTGTTTGATAGCTGCTGCATTCTTGTCTTACGCTGGACCATTCCTGTCCAACTACAGGGACGAGCTGGTGGAGAAAACATGGCTGGCGCAGGTATTTCAGTGTTGTCTAGTAACTGAAGTCTGGCGTTTTATGTTGAAATCTTCGCTAACAGGCACTATTAACCCAAAACCAGAAAGTCACCCGAAACTTTGGACAAAGGAAGCGTTTTCAGTCGTAAACTGAAACTTCGAAATGAAGACGAGAAAGATTGAACACAACAACTGGTTTAATATTCATAGTTGGTCTTGCACATTTGTGTTCAACTGCTGTATCGATCCTGTGAACGTTCAAATGAATCCGAGTCGGTCTTGAATTCATTGTGTTTACAAGTATTATACATTTCCATCCTCGCAGTCTTAACTCATTCTCGCTTCCTAACGTTTGACGAATGCTTTTCCATAAAATCAGCCATTATCGTCAAATTTTCTATGATCTTCAGGATTTTTTGATTATGTCTAAATTATGTTAAAAATTAACCATTTGATCTACTTGTCAATTTAGTGTGTGTAATGAGGCTATGCCTCTTGTTTTTCAGGTGCGCCAGTTAAATGTGGCTTGTAATCCAGACTTCTCTTTCTCCAATTTCCTGGCCAAACCAACCACTGTCAGAGAATGGAATATCCAGGTGTGTGTAATTCTAACAAATTAGGCGGCTTTCAGTTTATTTTTCGTTTGAAGATAGAACAACAGTACGTACAGGACGAGCCATGGTTTAAAAAGAGAACGGCTTGGGACGAAACGAGGGTGCGGCCGAAACCCCACTCGTCCAAACCGCTCTTTTTGCGTCGGATGTCGGACCCAAAGCGGAAAATCAAACTGCAAGCAGTCTACTTATAAGTGGTTTTCTCACAGAAGTTTCCTTTGCCGTTATGTACCTAGCGAGAACTTTGCATGTACCCAATTTGTTTTATTTTTTAATCGTTTGACTTAATATTGTGGTTTTTATTGTTCATCAGGGTTTGCCCTCTGACTCGTTTTCAACAGAGAATGGTGTTATGGTGACACGGGGCAGCAGGTACTGGCAAAAATACAAGATACACTCAAAGTTATTTTAATGGCGTCTTTGTCTACCAGAAGTGATTTTATTTTGTATTTGCTGATTAAAATTCCTTTCTCGATGGGACGTTTATGGAGATCTTAGAACTGCAAACTGTTCGCGACGGTTAGTCTCATGGACTGGGTGAAATGTCGGAGCGCAAAATATGGGCTAAGTGTTTTTCTATGTATGTTTGGACTGATCAAGGAGGAATTTCCTGAAATTGTATTTTGCGCTACCAATTCAGTGCGCTGTGAAGGTACTTTCTTGCGAACATACAACGGAGACAGAATCTTACAGAATTACCAGAATGCAGAGTTGTGATCGATTTGATGTGCCCTTTAGGTGGCCACTGATGATTGATCCACAGGGACAAGCTATCAAGTGGATCAAGAATATGGAGACTAAGAAGGTCGGTACAGCAGATACTAC